AGAAGGGACCATTATGATCATCTGGTCTGACCCCCTGCATGCTGCAGGCCATAAAACCGTCCCTACCCCTTCCCTGGACTCTGCTGCTGAAGTCCCCAATCCTGTTATTAGTGATTTCAATCGGCAGAGACCCTTAGAAGGGGTGGCAGAGGGCGCTCGCGGTGGGTTTTGTTGTTGGGGAGGAGGGGGTTGGGCGGCATGGCGCTGGGGGGGAGAGGGGTGTGTGTTATGGTGGGGCGGCACTCTTCTTTTTTTCCTGAGGCGGCAAAAAAGTTAGAGCCAGCCCTGAATCCAACACACACTTAACAAGGTGTTCAGCCCATGAGCAAAACATTTACTTATAAAACTTTTGCAAATTTCCGTGTGTACAGAAGCTATACGAATACACATTCACTGCACAGAGATTTATTATGACTGTTCACTACACAGAGGCAGCATGGATTAATTTTGAGGCTGGGAGCCTTGAACTCCTAAATTCCAGGGTTTATCAACGGTACATTGTCCCTGGACCTCGCTGGTGGGTTCTGCACCCCCACCTCCCCCCGCATCCACCATAACCACCTCTGGCTAGGTAAAATTCTCTCACAGGGAAGTGTTTAGTAAAATGCTGAGGACTTGTCTGTATAGGAGTTTAAAAAATTATGAAGTTTTGAGTGTGTTCTCAAAAACACGAACATCCAGCCTCTTACACTGTGGTAGATTTCAGTCCAATCTTCTAACTAAAACCTATTCCCAATCCATCTCCCTTTTTCTCAAGTTATGACCCTGAATAGTAAAATCTTATAATCATTTTACTCTCCTGCAATATTAATTTCTAATCCAAGCTTCCATGGTCGAAGTGAGCATTTACCTTCTGTGAAGGCAACAGAACTCTCTGAGGTGCAGTATCGTCAGCTGCCAAAGGGTCCCTCTGACTTCTGTGTACCAGGTGAAATGTTACAGCTTTTTTTTTCTCTATAAAGGGTTTCTTCCTTCTGTGAGGCTGCAAAAGAAAAGTTATGTTCTGGTTATAATATATATATATACACACACACACACTTTTCTAAGGAACCCCTTTCCTCCCCAACACATATATACACACACATGTTCTTTGCTATAAAATTTCAGAAAATGTTACATACTCTTGAACAGCTGGGCTTAAAAAGAAACCAAAATTAGATGTGTTCTTGCCACATGCAGTGCATCATCTAAAAGAAGTACACTTCACATGATATATATGTGTTTAATGTATAATTCTACAGAACATGAATTACGGACTGATTACAGTACATGATTTTCAGCTGTGCTCTCTGGTGTTCTTAAGTAACTGCACTCTGAACATCAGGGCATGTGTGACAGAAAGTTCAAACTGGGAAACAGGGAAATGGACAGGTGGAAATTCCTCAGGACAGGCAAATGTAGCTTCCCATATATAGATATAGACTGTTGTCTAAATGATATCTATATATTTCTAGCCCAGTTACTTATAATGAAATTGTCAACTGAACCACTGCCACATACAATAAACCATCTCAGCCTCCCGAATTCCTCAGCAATCTGAAGCACTATCCTGTTGGAAATATATTCTACAACTCTCTATACAACTGTGTGGATATATATATATATATATAAAATTTTCCAATCAGTTCTACTACTGGGAACTCGGACAGGTTAAAAAATTAGAAGAGAACATTTTCATCGTGTAAGTTACAGAATAAGCCAAACCTTCCCCTCCTTGCTTTTTAATTTTAAAATGTAAATCAGATAATGTAACATGTTATGTAGCATTTGGGATACATTCGTGTAAGAAAATATCAGCTGCCAGGGTACGTTTTTAATATTGTTTGCATTTTGGAATCTTATGTCTCGAATTATCACAAAATGAGATGCAAGACTGTAAGTAAGCAGACATATATGCCACTACTGCTAACTGTGAATTTCGAGGAGAATGGTGGTACAAATGCAATGTTTAAAATCCAGGTCTCCATTCCTACAGCCCAGTATCTTGTGGATTAAACTATTAAGTGTGCCTCTGAAGCCCATTCTCTGGAGAGGGCAGAATTCCACTTATAATTATGGTCTGTATAGGGCCAGGAAATGATTTCAGACCTATGCGCCATCCTATATGCCAATATCAGTGGCAGGTTTGCACAGAGATGGAGGGTAGAGTATTGCGTGTATGTAATAAACATACCGCTTAGTTAATATCTGTTCAGTATTTTATCACACTGGAAAGTTATGCCTCCTTTTAGGGCTACCTCTATTTCTATCCTTGGTTTCTCTTCATCACCAATCTTTCCTCTTTTCTGGGTCTCTCCATCTCCTCTCTCCTTGTAACTTATCACTGTTGCCAACTCTCCTGACTTTAGCACAAGGCTTGAGATACTGGTGTTTTTCTTAAAGACAGGCACTCTCCCACAGCCAAAGGATTATCTGAGAATCTCAGCTGTCATTAGAAAATCCTCTGAACTTCTAGTCCTCATAGATATAGAAAAACACCTGAACTTCTGAAGCAAATATAAGCCAGGTGCTCCAAAACAATAATGTAATTAAAAGATCCCCAAACCATTTAAAAAAAAAAGTTTGATGATTTTTAGGCCTGCTTGATGATTTCTGAATACTTGGGGATAACTTGTACATATACTCCTTCCACCCTGTGTCTGTCTTGGCTACTTGAACTGTGAGCTCTTCAGGGCAGGGCCGGCCTGCTACTCTGTGTTTGTACAGCATCTAGCACAATGCAAGCCCGGTGGTGATGGGTCTTAGGCACGATTTAACAAACGACAACTAATCAAAGACACCGGCCTTCCTCAGCAGCGCCTTCTAATTCCCAGCAAAGGCCAACCCCCACCCTAACATTAGGGCGTAAAGTGGCCACGGTCATCATTAGGCTCCAGAGTTAATGTCGCTGAGATGAGGTGCGGGGCGCTCCACCCTCCCTGCGGCCCCATGGGCGGGGGTGTTTTCTCAAAGCGCCCGGGGGCAAAGCGCGGGGGGGGGGGAGAGAGTGAGTGACAACAGCGCGCGCCCCCCTCCCGTGAGGAAGGATTCATACTCTCTCCCCTCGCTCCTCCGCGGCCGTTACTCACCATGGCTCGGAAGCGGGTGCAGCGGCGCGCGCTCTGCAGTCCTGGGGGACCACGCTACGGGAGACCCCGAGTCTGGCTCACTCCCACGTGAGTCGGCCCGGCCCGGAACTGGGAACCGCCGCCATCTTGGGATAAACCAGCTCCTGTCCGTTGGGGGGGGGCGGATTGACATCTCCAAACCAACGCAGTGGCAGTAAATGAGCCTTTTGCCGCAGAGTCAAGAACTGCCAGGGGTGACGGAAGCCCCCTCGCGGAAGACAGGGTTAAAGAGACACAGGCGCTAACACGGCCCCCAACGTTGCGGGAATGGTTTTGCCCGCCGGGGTGTGGCAGTGGCGGAGAGAGTGGATTGGAGGAGCCCAAAGAGGACAGTGGGCATGCGCACCGAGTGAGCCGCAGCTGGGCAGGGACACAAGCGGCTGGGGGAAGGGAGAGAGCTGCATGCGGGACAGGTTCCCCGCCCGGGGAGGCGCGAGCATGCCCCCGTCGGCATGTCTCAGACACAGGCAGATGCCGATGAACGTTTCTTGGCGCGGATTTTTCCCCTGCAGCGCATGCGCAGAGTGGGCGCCCCGGCGGCGCAATGGACCCGACAGACGCCGTGTTTCGGCCCCTCCGCCTGCCTCGCCCCCGGCTGGGCCAGGCTGTTGTGGGGTCGGCGCGACGTGTCCCGTTTTCTCATCTCCCCCAGCAACACATGCCAGGGGGCATCAGTGGGTGTAGCCCTGCCCCACCCACACAACACTGGCAGCCTCCGCACGTGCGGATCCTCTTTTCCTCCCGCCCCGAGGCGCGATGCCCCGCACGTGCCGACCCGGCTCCGACTCCCGAGATCGTGTTGTGCTTCCAGGCACGTGTGCAAGGGGGAAGTAGGACCTGGCCGGAGTTTGGTTCGAGGGGTGGGGAGAGTAGGGCCAATTCTCACCGCCACCAGCAAGCGGCAAGGGGGTAGCAGGCGGGAGGAGGCTCGGGTAACACGGACACAGGCCGCTCTCCAGCTGCAAAGGGCGCTCCAAAAACGGTCTGCATCTGAAGCACAGTCAGACCTCCCCGCCCCCCCCCCCCCCGTCCGCCTGCACACTACTCCCCTCCCCCCGTGGTCCCCATGCCCCTTGTGCGTGGGGCTGGTCTGAGTCCCTCTGCTGCCCACCCATGTGTGGGGCTTGTCCTCCAAGCCCCTTGCTGCCTGCCACAGGGCTAGGGTGGTCAGGTGGCTGGTTTTTGACCAAAACACTGGGTCAGAAAGGGACCCTGGTGGCTCTGCCTTCTTCTTGCATCTGAAGAAGTGAGGTTTTTACCCACGAAAGCCTATGCCCAAATAAATCTGTTAGTCTTTAAGGTGCCACCAGACTCCTTGTTGTTTTTGTAGAAACAGACTAATACGGCTACCCCCTGATACTTGGTGGCTCTAGTCCGCACAGCTGACAGGGCTGCTAAAAGCCCAGTTCTGTGCAGCTGCTGGAGCACCCACATGTCCTGCCAGCTTCTAAGTGCAGGAGTGGCTAGGGGTCTCCACGCGCTGCCTCCATCCGCAGGCATCACCCCTACAGCTCCCATTGGCTGTGGTTCCCAGCCACAAGCAGGGGCAGCGGATGGAGCTCCCCGGCTGCCCCTGCGCCTAGGAGCTACCTGAGGTAAGCGCTGCCTGGAGCCTGCACCTCCTCCCGCACCCAAGCCCCCTCCTACATCCAAACTCCCTCCCAGCGCTCACACCCCAACCCCCTGCTGCAGCCTTGAGCCCCTCCTGCACCTCAAACCCCTCATCTCCAGCCCCACTGTGGGGCCCGCACCCCCATCTGGAGCCCTCATCCCCCCAGTACCTCAACCCCCTGCCCAGCCTGGTGTGCGTGAGCAAGGGTGGGGGAGAGTGAACGACAGAGGGAGGGGCGATGGAGTGAGAGGGGGCCAGACCTCAAAGAAGGGGCAGAGCAGGGAGCAGGGCAAGGCTGTTTGCAGAAAACCAATTAGAAAGTTGGCAACCCTACGTGGGACTGGTGGTCTGAGCGCTGCCTGCCCGCACACAGGGCCGCCCAAGGCCCCCCATCTCCCTTCCAGCATGTGGGGCGGGCGGACTGGCTGGCCAGAGCTGCTCTCCCTAGCCCTCTCTCCAGCGCAGGGCTGGCATTGCCACTATCCCTCTCCCCTCCCCCCCCCCCCCATGAATGTTCCTCTGTGCTCCGCTAGAGGTCCCACTCCACTTTTTTGGCAAAAAATTGTGCATTTGTCCAGTTTGCTCTTGACAACCGATGATCAGTTGGCAAGAGCAAATGTGACAAATGCCCACTTTTGTCAAAAAAGTCAGTATGGCTGGGATAGGGCTTAAAAAAGGGACCATCCCAGCCAAAACGGGACATATGGTCACTGTAAGCATGTAGGTGGGTGTGGACTCCCTCACTGTCCTCTCTGGGGAGGCCACTCCCCATTGCTACACATGGTCCTGAAACAGACTAAGTAAATGGGGAAATTAGCGCTCTCCGGCCCCAACCCATTGTCAGGGTAGGGATGCGAATAGTTCAGGGGCCAAGGACCTCACCAGGATAGGGCACCACACACTCAAAGGCTTTAACCCTTAGGCTGGGTAGCTATGAGTGGTTCAGGGGGCCCAGGCCCTCAGCCATGGCAGGGAGCCCAGCAAGCAGTCTAGGGCACCGGCAGGGGGTTGAGCACCCATGGAGCGCAGGCCTCCTGACCTAAGGAGGAGGACTACTGCCACCCCAAGGGTGGGATGGCGGGGGGGGAGGAGGCACAGGACTGCCCAACCCCATTGCATCCCAGCCCAGAGCCCAAACAGCAGCAGAGTGGTCTGTCAGTGGGGAATCCACCAGCAACATGCTGACAGTGTCTCCGGCAGCACCACAGCCAGATGGTAGTGTGGTTCCCCTGGGCTGCTTCCTAGTCTCCCCCTTGGGTGTACCTGTGTCCAAGGG